CTGCACGTGTCACTTAAAACTTTGCCCATAAGAAAATGTTCACTCAAATCTTGAAAAAACAAGAAATGCTGCGTCCCTGAAAAGAACAACGGAGCCGCGATCGACTTGGCAGAGAATTAGACGAGACTTCGGTGAGACTCGGTCTGAACTGCCGGCTGCTGAGCGCCGAGTAGAGGAGAGGACAGACGAGCCTGTAAACTCTCATGCAATCCCTGTGGCAACAAGTTGGACATAATTCAATTTGTGTTGGATACATCATCAGATAATTAAATGCACATTTAATCATTTAAATCATTTTTAATTCTTTATGGTTTATGACTTATGGAACTGTAATGGTGTTGTGAGGCACTGAAGACGTGTTTAGTCACCTACCAGCCACAGTGCGGCTTCCATAGAGGAGCGGGGTTCATGCACGGCCACAGGGGAACAAACAGCAACTAAGGCCCAAAACGGTCACGTTTGAACTTATTTTAAAAGCAACCACAATTATTTCCTTCCCAATTAGTTTTATTGCCTGGATACGAACTGATCGCTTGCTGGAAATAAGTCGGCAAAACGCACAACAAACAACTCCCACACGAACCGTTGTGCTGGCATACAGCGGGTCCTCAACAGTGATATCTTGATAGAGTGCTGCAGATAAAAAAAAAACGAAATAAAGTTATAGCCAGAGAGAATGCCCATTAGCTATTTACACCTCATTAACTAAGTCAATGCACTCCACATTATCACAACAGCTGAGAGGAGTCTAGAGGATTTATTTGCATTTAAATGAAGTATTCATTTTCCCCCTCAAGGCTTTAAAGCCCACTCTGATGGCATCAGGAAGTCACACCCCTCTGCAAAACATCGGCGTGTCTAACACTGACACCGCGTATACACACATGTATGTACGCACCGTGCATAATAATAATTATAAACTCCCACGCAAAACCCGATGTTTCTTTCGTGAGCGATGGCCCTTCTCGACATCTCTGGTGGAAACGTCCGCAGCTTCTCACCACATTGCAAACGTCCCACCCCACCCCTCCCCCCCCCCACTGTTATTCCCATTATTGAACACGCAGCCGGCTGATCAGCATGAATTATGGCCGTGCGTCTTTTACATAATCACTCATATAGAATCGATAGACGTACTAATCAAGGGCAGCGAGTATTGAGCGGGAGGGTCCGCCGCCCATCAGTTATCCTTGCCTCAGGAGGTGGGGGGGGGTGGAGAGGAGGGTGGAGAGGAGGGTGGGGAGAGGGGGGGTGTTAGGGCCGCCTCAAACTCCTCGCGTGGAGGAGCATCATCCATCAAAAGTTTGTGACGAAAAATGCTCAGGCGGGTTGGAGTCCCGCCAATTTCACAGAACGACCTTGGCTTCGGCGGGGGGGGGGACGGGGACAAGTGTGAGCCGAGGACGTCCGTCCTGCGGGAGGACTCCTCTGGACACGCCGTTTGCTCTCGTCTACAGAAGATATAACATGCAGAGCCCTTATGATTCAAAAGCAAATAGAAATTGCGCCGGTGGGTTTCTCAGTGGTCTGAATATCAAAGCAATGTAAAGCGACTGGATTAGTGTTACCATATGACAAGGCTTTTTTAATTAGAATGCAGTTGTACACGCATAATTGAAGTTAAGACCCACAGTGCAGGTGTTTTGCAGCAGCAGCGTATCTTGTGACATCCCCAATAATGTCTTTTAGAAAGATTACTCACCAGGAACAAGATTAAGACTCCACGGATAACTGCTTAATTATAGAAGAGGCAAGAATCCCTCAGCCTCCAAGCTGAAAGGCTGAATCAGAAGGCAAAGCATGTTCACTGAGCGAGGAAAACAGGAGCTCCGCAGGATTCATCATCATCATTCATTTATCACCCACTTCTGATTTTGTTTAATTATAACATTATTCCACTTTGGGCTCAATAAGACCTACATGCTGACAGACCTGTACATCCAGCACTCTGCTGGAAACATGTATCATTACGTCTGCCAGATTCAAGTAAATGCAAAGTTAATTGGTTCGTGATGTAAGTATTTTAAATAGTTACATTTCTCTGGGTGCATTCCCCTTTATCTGGAATAACTCAGACCGTGATGAACGGATCCTTTTATAAATAGCAAGGCTCCAAATCTTGTCATTGTCATTAAATTACAATCAGTCCCCAATAAAAATAAAAAAAAAGTTGGGAGTGAATTTTCAAAACTTGTTTCTTAAGAATACCAACACTGTTCTTAAATGTGCTTGGTTGATAACGAATGTATCATCCAATGAAACGCAGGATAATAATTATAATTATTATTATTACCATCAGTATAACAGCTACGAGAGCGCAGCAGAAGAAACGCTGGGCGATAAGAAAGAAGCGGAGGTACATCGTGCTAATCGGTGAACGCGACACATTCGTGCAGGCTGGCATCCCGCTAACCTGCCAAGTGCTCCAGTGACACGTCGCTGAATGCCATTCGTCGTAAACACCCCACAAACACGTGGGGTGTTTACGACGAGGCGGACTGGAGTGACTCATTTGACATATTATGGCCTTACGCGGCTCATGCTAATGCTGATGCTAACGTGATAGCATGCAGCTTACCATTTACACATTTGGCCCTAGTGAAGAAAAACCCCTTCAAACCTCAACATAAAGAAGGCTTCTGTGGTCAGTGCTAGAAGGTGATTTGCCAGCTTCAGCAAAGGAGCTCGGCCAATATTTGATTTCTGGTGCTGTGATGGATTAGGAACGTTCCGTACAAGGGGTTCAAATGGAAGAGAAACTCATACTGGAGCGAGCAGGCAAAGAACACTGCTGCTGACATGAGACGCATTTTGTCCTCCATCACGCTGCTGTGACACAGAAAGACCTTTTTAAACAGGATTTTTCTTGTGTTTGTGAAGTTAAGACATTTGACCTCCTGTAACAAACGCATTGTATAGTTTACAATGTGAGAGTGACGGCGTACGATTAAGGTTGCACTCCTCATACCCCCGCCTACCCCCCTGCCTTTGTTTGCAGGGCCTGTCAGGTTTCTACAGAGAAAGACTGGAGGCTCAGCACAAAATGATGCCCCACCTCAGACCTGACGTTAAAGGAAAGGGGCAAGTGCTGAAATTACCTTTCCTATCAAGCCTGGCTTTTGTCGGGGGCATGAGGCCGATTACAAGGTGTCACCTTATGCAGGCAAGGTTGACGTCTGCAGGGAGTGTGTGTGGAACGAATGGCATGTTTGATTTAGAAAAAGGTAAGTGGAAAACTCAAGAAAATAGGATGTAAATATGGAATGGCAAGAATAAAAGACATGGGGGGAATGTTTGATCAATGTGTGGGACAAGAATGGATGAAGACAAACAAATAAAACTAGTAGAAGCATACTGGAGATCTCTTCATGCATTCAAAAAATACTTTTGTTCTATGAGGTCAATGACAAACATCTAATCTGTCGTTTAGAAATGTTCTTTGTGCTCCTCATGATTTTGTTGTGTGCTGTTGTGTCCTCCGGCTGCAGTCAGATTCATGATCTTCTCCTGCTTTTTTTTTGTGTTAATTTTTCTTCTTCTCCAGGACCCTTATTTCTGGTATTCTGGCAATAAGTAAATAATGTGTACATGTGTGGAAATAATCAATGATTTAATCTGAACTGGCAAATGCTCACTGGATATGTGCCGCTTCTATGTGCCCTCAGACGAACAGGGCGAAATTATTGTTAGATCTCTCGACCTATGACCTTTCAGGTACAGTAGGTGTGCTTTTTGAATAGCCCCAAGGCAAATTCACAATTTTGTGGCTCCATTTTTACAGGCGGGCTTATTAGAGCTGTGAGTGCCCCCCCCCCCTTGTGTCAGGATCAGCAATCAAATGACGTGTAAAACTAATTACAACCAAAAGGGCACAGTCTTGACTGGAGGGAAAGCGGATAGGTGCTGAAACAACGCTTGCACCCAACGGTGGGGATTTGACTGACCAAAAACCTTCGCATGACTCCCAGCAGGAAGAAAAAACCTGTTGATTTAATTCTGCTTTATTTCCCACAAGAACGACCTGGCAGTCGACAGTAATTCCAGTTGCCCTTTAAATTATTCACTTAAACCACCACCGTTCAATCACGCCACCGAGTTAATTAAGCAATACCGAGATTAATAAAGAAGATAGATGGCGCTCAGTCATACATGATTGCTCACACTCTGTGAAAACGCCGAACACAGTGAAGGCTGGTAAGGTCAGAAAGCCCACCAATTGATGGAACTGTCATCCCATCGTAGTGGAAATCCTCTAGATTGACTTCTAACTGATCCAGGGGACCAAAGGAATGGCCTGAGACATATTGGCCTAAACCCACCGAATCTAATCTGCGACGCAGTCACTCGCTCGCGGTTAATGTCATTATTTAGACCTGTCCGATAACTGGCACATACAGCAGGCACCTATTGACTCCCTCCCGCTTCAGGAATATGAGGCCCGCTGGCCGTCAGTTAGACCCGCCGGGGTCCATCAAACGCTCCATCATCGCGTAGGGGAGGGGGCCACTAAACGAACATTCGTCTTCAGAAGCGATGGGGCTGACGTGGTTCTTCTCAGCGGTTCAAAATAACGTACGTTGTGTTAAACAGCACCGCCAATCTCACGAAACCTCTTCAAACATGTTAGCTGATTCAGAAGTGAAATGAAATATGTAACATCTGGCTCTTTAGGCGATATAACCCCCGACCCCATTCCCCAGTCCAGCCCAGCAGCACTGGCGCCCGCTCCGTTGTTTACCCGTTGCTTTGAGCGTTCGCTTCGCTGCACTGGTCTGTAGGTCGGATCATCCCGACGACAACTCTGGTCTGCACACAGAGGGAGTAACTAGTTCCCCAAAGACCTGTTTCCATGTTTCTCATGTCTTAAATTAGAACCCACACTGCTGTCTTGAAGTGCCACCGGCGTTGTCTTTCATTTCTGCCGAGAGGCTTTTTTTTTTTTCATCGGAACCTCAGAAGCCCAAAAAAAGTTCACCCAGAGAGACGTAAAACAAACTCACATGCAAAGGTCAGACTGGCCTCCCGGCTGACGATGGTCCCGAAGGAGTTGGAGGCGAGGCACTGGTATGTTCCTGCATCGTGGTCCTTGTTCAGATGACTGATTCTGAGGTTCCCTCCAGACAGGCTGTAGTGAGATCCGGATCTGGGGCTGATTTCGGTGCCGTTCAGTTTCCACCTGTAAACAAATGAACGGAATGATGTAAGATAAATGCACAACTTCCACTTAGTCGGGCGTGGAAAAGGGCGGGGCGCCGAGGGAAGCATTTCAGACTACAAGGAGAGGAACGAGACGAGTGACGAGGGCCGAGAAATCTTGTGCCCCGGCTTTGTGTTAATCCGAGCGGCGGTGAACCGCGATGGTGCCAAGGACCCGACTCCCTGGGAAAACAGATAGCGTTGGGGGCCATCCATCTTGCCGAGCGCTAGTCGAAGCGCATGAAAATGCAGCTTAATCATTGCGGCGCGACAATTAAAACAAATGCCTGCAACCTCGCCTCGGCGCTTGTGCATTCCAGACCGGTCGGCGTGATAATCGTTGCCGTTAGGTGCGATCAGCGAAGGGTGTAATTCACTTAAGGTGGCGACAGATTCTTCAATTCTTCAATGCAGCGCAGATGCAGGTGGGAGGAAAATCAGTCATTTCAGGAAACGCTTTCATGCCATAACTTACTGTTATTTGTTGTCATTGACGTACAACTATTGCAGCTATTAAAGGCTCTGCGCGGATAAACAAGCATGAAAGGAGCATTTTATGCTTTATTGGAAATTGGAAAATGCAGATTCGATAATGACTCAAGGTGAACTGGTGGTTGATTATTCATTTGAGGACACGTACTTTTGTTTTTATTGTCTCCGAATTATTTCAGGTTCAGACGGGGAAAAAGCGATGTATCTGTAAAAGAAAGCAGCTTTGGTTGGGAAAAAAAGGGGGCTTATCTAAAACCCCTTTGTGCCATAGACAGACGCTGGTACAAAGCTGTTTGTGTGCCAACGTGGTGTCCTGAGGCATAACAACCTCACTGTTGCCATGGCGGCATTTGCTCTCTTTATTACAGCTTTAGTGTAACAGGACCTACAGGACGCACATATTAGACTGAAATGTTCTAGATGAACTGGATTCTGTACAGGATCATCACGCACTACACAAGTGAGAGCTGATTACACGAGAGAGCTTGTGGGCCGTGCATTGCTTCACTCGCACAAGACTTTTGTCCTTCTCATGGACAAAGTGTGAGGAGCATAATGGTCTTCTTCAGGTACAAGTAAGGCTCTCGGGAGCCTTATTAGTCCACACGGACTGAAGGGTGGGGGGCTTATGGTGGAATGCAGTAGCCATTTGTTGGCAGCTGAGGTGGAACAAACAAAAATCAACATAAATAGCAAGTAACAGGTTTGACTGGGACGAAACAACGCTGAGCGGAGAGCGCCGGCCGCACACAGCGGCCTCTTCTGCTCCTCGAAACGGGTCACGTGAAGTGAAAGAAAAATGCAGCAATTTCTCCACTCCTAATTACTCGCAGAGTCATATTGAAAGGGTCTAATAGGGCGACAGCTCCAAAATGAAATGTTGCAAAAGATTTTCTCCGATAGCTCTTCATTGGCTGCTTCATTTGCACTTTTTCGAAAACATAAAACCGGACAGCTAATTAAAGCTGGCCAATGTCTTGATGTTTCTGAGTGGCTGATCGCGTTGAAAAAGTTCAGGTGTTCCATCATGTGAAATGTGTTGGTGGTTAAATTTAGTGGAAGTGAAAGATAATTGCCCACCGAGAAGTGCCAATGTTCTGTTTTGACAAATTGAATGCCCTTTGACGGCTCTTGTTGCTCTGAGCCAATTAGATGAGATCTTTAAAGCCACTAAGTGACAGGTTCTTTAATTTGTGTGAAGCTGGAGCGCGTTCTAAGCGGGTGTAAATTGATACCGGTTCGGGGTGGAACTGTAAATCCACGGACCGTCACGTCTGCAGTGGAGCAGCAGATTACATCAAACACGTATCAACTAGATTATTTATTAATTCCATTTACAATGATTTATGCTGGCAAGCGGGCCACAACAGCAGTTGCATTTGTTAGGCACATGCTTTATGCAATCATGTAACGACAGGGCGGCGTACACAGAGACGTAATACGCCACCATCTGTCCTACGAGGCTGTGGATGTTTGGAGTCTGTTCCTTTTGATACGGTTGCTCTACTAATCTTCACTTAGTCACAGTTTGACTCTAAATCCAGGCGTGGAACAGGTCGCTCACAGCCTCGACGTTATAACCACATACCCCTGCTAATTTTTCACTTTCATTATTACCCCACATCTGAGAAACCAAAGCAACAAAAACCCCATTAGACACATTTGTTGGCTCCGTTGCTTAGCGACAGGGTCGCTTCCACTAACCAAGTAAAGTGACGGAATCAATGAACGTTTTTTTCATTCTAGCTTCTGTGGGGGATTAAGGGGAAATAAATCCGGGACATTAGACGTACACAGCTGCCGCAGAACCGCAGTTCAGACTATTTGATGGGTGTCTTGACAGAATAGATGGTTAATCTGTAAAACTTTCTGCAAACCAAAGGAGCGGCGCTATCCTCGCCACGCCCAGCAACAGCTCTACACATAACAGGAAGAGTAAATACTTGGTTGCACATTAATTGTGTACAAATAATGTAAATAAAGCATCAAATATGTTAATCCACATTCCACAGCGACCGCCAGTCCAGGCACCACACCAATAGTCACAGCTTCCAGGGAGGATTAGTGTTTGCTTCCTGCGGGCCGTCCCATCAGTAAGTCCTCGTTTGCTGCAAACTAAAAGTTTTTCCAGGATCTTCTTCACAGCACAACTCCGGCTTTTGTGAACTGTAACCCCAGCGGCCCACCCAAGTCGTCTACAGGCTTGGTTCCTCAGCCTCGGACTTCACCTGGATGAACCTAAAGCTGGACTGAGGGACAAAGTCTGCGAGCGCCGCTCTGCTTTTTCGCACTGGGAGCACAGCCGGTCCGGCAGCCCGCTGGGCGGCGCACTGACTTCACACGGTTAACTCCACGAGTCTGGCCGGGCCTGAGGGAAAAACGTGACCTGTCCTCTTCTCCTGGAAGATATCACGTGGGCACTGTTGTTCAACGACATTTGTATGTTGGCCGTAAATTGCTCTATAATATATTGGATTTAAGTAGTTATTTTATGCAGGCTTATGTCTGCTGTGTTTCCAGTTGAGACACATTGTGCATTTGCTGTACATGTGTAAAATATTCAACAAGTGTGCGGCAACATCAAAAACATAAATAAATGAAAGAAAAAATAATCCACATCATGATCAGGAGGTTTTACATCTGCTTTAAAATTTGTATAAAACAAATTTGATGTTAAATCAAATGTGATTTTAAAAACTGTGCTGTTTGGTGCTTTTATTTTGTAGTTTCAAATATTAGACGTGCAGCACTTTTGGGGTCTCTGTGAGCTCTGATTGGATAACTGGTAAACATTCAGCCCTTATTAGAGCATTCTTAACAAATTAAGACGTTTGTGTTACCTCTCAGGAGTCAGAAGCCAGGAGATTGACACACTAACATTAAGCTTATGGATGAAGCACTCTTATAATAACGCGGCAGCCTGAGTGCTTAGAACAGGATCATTCACACAACGAGGTTTGTGCGCTTGTTGTATAAAATGTAAACACTGCGTCTCTCTCCTGCTGAGCAGCTAATGAACTCCTAACACCTTTTAGCCGCCGTCCGACACGTTCTCGGGAGGCGACCTCGGGCGGGAAACAGCTGATTAGGTCATCCTCTAAGCTGGCTCTGTCCCAAAGTATTAAATGCACCAATCCTTTCCAATACTCACCCCAGCAAACATGATTGATTTAAACTCCGTTGCGAGCCAGAGAAGCTGCAACGCAACACAACACAAACACAAACACTCCTCTCAATGGACTAATGGTCCATGTGGGGGGGGGGGTGGAGAGCGGGGTGAAGAGCGGGGTGAAGCTTCCCAGGCGATCCGGCGCTGCAGACGGACCAGACACTTTCCCAGCGGAGGGTTGAGGGGAAAATTCCCCCAGAAAAAAAGTAACACACACACACACAACAACCTGTAACACATTCCTATCATCCTGATCTGCAAGGCTGAACAAGTTTCTACAGATAGAAAAATGAACAGAGGCTCTTTTGTTGCAGCATCGGGGGACGAATCCCAGAGCCGTTTTTATTGGGCATGAAGTGGAAACCAGAGCTGAGGACACAATGGACACCAAGAGTACGCTGAGCTAAAGCACCACGACAAATTCATGTTCGCTGGCAGGTCCGGGCTTCGCAAGATTAGAAGCTCTTTGGTTTCCAGCTGGAGAACAGAAGTGTCACGTATGGATTAAACTGTCGGAGATCTGAGGAAAAGTGTGTGATCGTTGTGTAGTTCGTCGTTTTAGTTTGAATCCCATGAAAGAAGATTCTGTGATTACCTTTTATTCTCATTCTACTATCAAGAATTACACAGATGAAACACTCCTAATGTGGAGCTCTCTAAAAACCCTTTTGCCCACGAAAGATTTCATCTCTACTTCTAGGCGAGGAAGATCAAACCAAAATGTAAAAATAGCAATTTAACAAGGCAAATACACTAAAGAGGCAAGAAGCCTATGATTCCTGTTTAAATGCAAAGGTTTTAACAATTAAAACTTGTTCTTTTTTGCTTGTATCTCCATGTGGTTTATCTACACTTAAATAATGTATGGAGGAATATGATTAGATGTAAAACCCAACCAACGGTGTCTCTGCCAGTCGTAAATCTTTGGGAAGATCAAGTGTTCGGATGTCTCTGTCTGTCTGCGGATCTACTGAACTATTCAAACTAATACTTTTTGTGCACACTGAATGTTTGCTGAGGCCCCGTCATGGTTGCAGCGATTCCACATTTTGGACTCATCCACAGGAAAGCTTGTTTTTTAATTCATACTCAATTTGCAATCTTCCAATAAAGCACAATACACAAATCTAACAAATCTGTTTCTTTTATTCTTCGCTGGCAACATGAGCAGTGGGGAGGGAGACACGCACGGCGCAGGTCGGCTCTATACTGGGATCCATCTTCTACTTTCTCTCGCCAGTCATGATTAAGCTGAAGCACCAGCCCCCCTTTATGCTTTGGATGATGAAAATACGCAGCGGATTATTGCAATTCAGTTTGCATCTTTAATGTCGTGATCACTGCCTTTGAATCATTAATAAAATATGCAGTTATTTATATATAATTGCCAAGGGAGCAGTATGTATTGGGTCAATAGACCAAAGATCAACCTGTGACTAAACTGTGAATTAAAGGATAAGTTTGATTATTACCAACAAATCCCCAAAAACATACATTAAATGAATTGGCCCGACCGTACTTCTAACCCACAACCCACATGTTCCTGAGTAATTACTTTCATTCACTATACTTTGTTTAAAAAACACAAGAATAAACCCTTAGGCAGAACGGCGCCGTGAGGTTCAGCAAACGTCACTCAGGCGTAATTGTTGGGGGACTATTTTGAGCAGTGGATGAATACACACATTTAGGAGGCAGCGGGACGGTTATGTCACATTGACTAAAACAAATGAAATAATCACAAGGAAAGGAGAGTGTCCCCCAGTGCAGTTTGTGGCCAACAATGGAGCCATGTGGCAAGGAGAAATAAAAGGTTTAGTAAATTAGGAAAAGAGGAGCAATTTGTCATTTTCGTTTATGAACAAAAACAAAATGATAGAATAATTACCAGGCATTACCTTCAAGTTGTGCTGTAGCAAGCACTTTAAGTAGCTATTATCTACTTTGCCTTGAACAGCTACACTATTTAAGTAATAGTTTAGTCGTGGCAAACCACTTACTATTCCATTTCCATTTTTAAGCAGGATGTACTTTCTAACAGGGTTGTAGCGCTACTTCTACCTGGAAATAGAATCAAAAGACGTCTTCCCCCTCGGTTGCGTGGGTTTGAGTGATTAATCAGCCTTTCAATGCAAAGCATCACTTGTGGGTCGAGGTGGAAATAAGATGCTACTTTACGTAATTACGATTCCAGACTTCAAACCGATCGCTTGTCTTTGCACTCCAACTTTCCCGCATGCAAAGGGGGATCTTTGAGACCAGGTGGAGACATCCGGCAGTGATAAGTTGCAGAGATAAAAATGGCGGCCGCTGGGAGGCGAGCACGCCGCGTAAACGGGGGGGGCCAGCGAGCCGCACACTCACCGGTAGACGGGTGGAGGGCTTCCCTGGGCTTCACAGCTGAACACCACCTCCCTGTTCTCCACCGTCTCCACGGGATACACGATGCTGCCGGGCTGCTTGGTGAAGACGGGGCTCTGCAGGACGCCGCTCTCTGTGGGACACAGGTGAAAGACAACCGCACATTTAGAAAGAAAAAAAAGAAAAAGGGAAAGGAGCCAATTAGTCGGTGGCAGAAACAGGATGACGGCGCTTTAAGTGTTTGGAAGGGCGAAACCACGAGCGCACAGAACAACATCCATTCGAACCGCCTGTCAGAGAAGAGTGATCTTCAGCAGGACGCATCTTCAGCAGCTGTTTAGGCGGCAATGGGATACACGGCCTGATTAATGTTGAGCAGTGATCCGGGGAAAATGCCCTTATCAACACCTGCTAAGCTGCTTCTGCGTTGCTCATTTGTTTATTTATTTGCCTGGTGATGTTGGGATTGTGTGTCCGCGCAGGAGTGTAATCAGCCGGGTTCAGAGCGCCTCGCTATAAACGACACAACTCAGACGCCGTCAGCGCAGTGGGGCATCCTGTGCATGGCTCAGCAACGTACCAATGATACTTTGAAGAAAAAGAGCTGATTTCTTCGCTGTAATTATTGGTCTACTTCTTTAAAGTTCAGGCAAAAAGGAATCCAGAGTCACTGAAGTAAATCAGAAGTCATGGATCTTATAAATGAATCTAAAATCTGAAAAAATGGACACAAAAACCACGTTAGAATGTAGAAATCTGGGGCCCATGTCTGCTTAAAAGTGGACCTCAGTGGTTTGAATAAGATGAATAACATTGACTCTGATTAACTGGGGCAATGAAAATGTAATTCATAACAGATTTTATAAACCAGCTTCAAATTTACGAGTGGGATATTTACAGACAAATCTTACTTTTAGTAAAACATTAAAATCTCCTATTAGCTCTCACATATCATGTACAACATGCAGAATAGATTCGACACCAGTTAAATAGTAAGAAAATCCATGAACATAAACATCAACGTTAGCATGTGAGTAGAAAAAGTGCAGAAATGAGAAAAGGAGGCAGCTCTTTGACAGCAGAAGGAGAAGAGAAGCGACTGTGTGTAATGAGCTGCCGAGCGTTCACACGCTACAGCTGAATCACCGTCTAAGAGTGTGGGTGTGAAGGCCAGAAGATGTCATTAATATATTATCACCCTTACCACATCCTTATTCTGCAAAATACGGCTTCATCCGGTCTTCTTTGACCAGGAAGTTACCAGGTAGAGTATTAATCCTAGTAACTCATCACCAGGGCTTCACCTAGCTGTTTATTGAGGGAACTCAAATAACTACGAGTTAACTTAAATTAAAACCTCATCTCTTTATTCATTGTTATTACGGGACATTTGAATTGTCTTTCCCACAGCCGTGTTTCTACAGGAGTCGAGAACGGACAAACTGAAAGCTCGCTTTCCATCGGGTCATTTGCGATATCGCTTCGGCCACAACAGGTGTCCTACGTTCTGCAGCTTTCAGTTGGTTGGAATACAGATAAACACATTAAACCTACAACTGCACCGTCCTCTTGATTCAGTATCAAAATCTGAATGAAGCCTCGATGACGCTTTGCACAGAATCCTGTCCTATTGACACATTAAGCTCTCTACAGATCTAATGACAGGATTCCAACGCACTCTTATTTAAATTCCCTTTCTTTCGATCTTCTGACCTTTATTCACTCGAAACCTCAACCCGCACGCAGTCACAAAACTGGTATTGGACGGTTCTGCAAAACCTTTAAACGCAATCACCGGTGGAACAGAAGTCTTCCGTATGGAGATCGCAACCTACAATTCTGTCTCTAAACTACGGAAACTTTGAAGCAGCACAAACTTCCGCATTGTGTTGTGAAGGTGGTGACAGGTCCACACGGAGGCGTATAGGACGACAGCACAGGGTGATGCATAATTCAAAGAGCTGCTCAATAGGCAATCTAATTCAAGAGAATGTCTCCCTGCTCAGCCCACAGCATCACAGTGAGCTTCCAATCTCAGCAGAAGCGTTCAAACATCATGCAAATTCAAGTTTTAGGGTAAGATATTCTTTTTTCATGCAAAGATAAACACAGAATTGAAATGTTTCGGCTGCCCCCCAACAGGCGGCGCGGTCGCCTTCAGAAGCCGTGTTTTGTGACAGGAGTCAAGGACTCTCCAACTGAAATGCACTTAACTGAGAATATGCTTTGCCTCGTGACGGCAGAGTCGTGTTCTTCTTCATTATACTAACTCACACAAAAGAAGGTAGAATTGGCTACGGTGCCAAAAATAACAAAGACAAAAAAAACAAAAAAAGCTCTGAAATAAATGTCCCCATCAGACCACAATGGAGCCATTAATCCACACCTGTCAGAATAAATACAAGAGTGTGTCACTTGATAGAGCGACAGAAATTCTACATTGTTCAATTTTATATTCAACGAAGAATAATACATTCATCACTCATAAATCATCAGAGCTATCGGCCGTGAGTGTAAATATCTGAGAAAGCATCTCCACAGCTGTTTATTGAGACGATACGCCCAATGAAATGTACGGTGTTAAATAAACATTAGCCAATGTAGCATCTTTGATGGATAGTATAGATCCATTACGAGGCTGATTCCAGTCGTCGTTGTGCTGCCGGCTGCATTCATAATGGGGCTTAAACACGGAGCAGCTTCCTGTGTCCGTGGCCGCGTACGGCCGTCCAGCAGCCACGCTGCTTTGTTTATCTGTGTACACAATAATACATTGTTTACTAGTTTGAGAAAATAAATCAAACCAAATTTGCATCTTAAAAAAAAAAAAACGTACATGGTAAATAAAACGGACCCGTGACCCCCGACGACAGAGAAAGGTGTGCGGGTCACACATTCCTCCTGGGCAGGTGGCCCTTTATATCGCAGCCCTCCATCAGTGTGGGAAGGAGATTTGAGTGGTAGAAAAGGGGCGACAAGGAGGAAGTGAGGTACGATACAAATCCTTTTTCCATTTACCAATTGAGTTACGGAACAATATGAAACATATAACTTAAAATGTCTGTTTGTCCTTTGTCTGATTACACGGGGAACTATAAATAGTAATATAATACAGTGCGTAAGAGGCATTCGTCTTATCCGGCTCAGAGGCGAGTCCTTGTGCACAGAACTGAAGTAGGTCACCATTAAGACTCAAACCCACTCCGGTACCTTTACCGGGCCTCCCAGTAGACCTCGCGCACCTGCGACAGGCTGTTTCTCATCTACATGTGGCTCTGTGGGAGAAACACGTCGGCCCAACGCACCAGGTTGGTGCCACAGGGAATACTTCACTGTTACCTACTTTTAGCAAAGATTTACAAACCTAAAATGGGATGAAAAATATGTAAAGATGGAGGAAAAGTCCTTGATCTTTTTAGTCCCAGTTTGATATGATATTTATTATGGTTGACGTCTGTATTTATTTCGATGCTTTAAACATTTATGGGCTGCTATTCATCTGAAGATGAGCCCTTTCATGGCTTTTTTCCTTTAATATATGGTACCATTTTTGCCTTCTAAAACCTTTCACTGTCAATATCAGGTATCATTAAATCTCTGCCGGAGCCACGGTTTATGGAAATAAATGTTCCATGATTCCGTTCAGTGAGCACACACACACTCAGGCTCAAGTTTTTCCGGCGATCTCGTCCCTGCTTTGCAATGAACATGAATGGAAGCACATAGAATAACAAGCATGACCTCAGTCAATGCATGAATTAGGTGATGCGGACGCACCCACAACCGATCGAACAGGAAGAAATGACACAAAAACCTGCAACTGATAAAAATAAATTGTATAATTGATCAACTGTGAACACAAAAGCAGAAGAAGTAAAGCTTCAGATCTACGAGGTCCAGCGTGATGCTTTACAGGACCCCATTTTCAATTCTGTTCATTTTATCTCCTTAATGGGTTCTAATGCATTCATTTCCATTCCATTCATGTTTTCATTTACAAATCAAATTCTTTTAATTAATATTTAAGATATTTTTTGTTGCCCATCTGATAAACATTCTAATTGTATTGCTTTGTTTCATATGTGTGTACTACATATGTTGTTATCAGTTATTTCTCCTTGTCTCAGGTATTTCAGATTGGCTTCTGTGATTATGGTTCCCATTTTTAATTAGTTATTGCGGTTTGTGACTACGACAAAGATGTGCTTCATATTTGGGATTTTATGCCCAGAATGTTTTGTGTGTGATGAACTCGGGCAGCACTGATTCCTGCTCTTTGTTATATGCCATCATTTTGCAATGCACTAGTTCATGTTTTCAGAGGAGTTACAAAAGAATGCAACCGATTAGTTCACGCTGCTTGATTAAAATACACGTAGCTCCTGTGAAAACAAATCCGTGGCACAAATGACATATCCTGCAAAAACAAGCACCTCTGCGCTCACCGAGTCCCACTCCATCACTCTGCTGCGTACTGGGTCTTTGAAACTAATCCACTGAGGGCTGGCAGGTTTTTAATGTCATACAACAATGCTACGATCAAACCGCTATTCAGATGGTATCAGCATCGATCTTCTGAGAGCTGGAAGGGAGATATTTTTGGACAGACTGCGCTCGCTCGCGCTTAAGTCGGCCATAAAGGAGAAGATTAACGTCCTGAAAAACGCTTCTCATTTGGCCGTCTTGAAGTGTCGTTGTGCTTCCAGCCCGACCTGTTTGGAAAGGTTCCACCACTATTGGGGCCACAATGGGAATCAAACAAAAACGGGGGGCGCAGAGCAAAAAGGGGGGGGAAAAAAGGAAATGAACATGAATGCAAGAGTCCGTCACGTGTGAAACGCGATGTCGCCGACTGAGTGTGTTTTTATTTTCGGCTACGTTAGCAACAACAGATGGTTTGACCTACACCAAAGAACGTTACCACTATTGCGAATGCGAATTTTGCATTACACCATCACCATGTTATTTCTGCGGGAAGACAAATTAAATGACTCATGCTTTCTTGTATAATCCCTGAAAGCAGTTTGTGCTTTGGGACATAATACTTCACAAAACAACTGCTTCCAAACAGACTTTTTTTTGTTTGTTTTGCCCACCACCACTGCTCCTCTGCCAATACCATTAGGCACGCTG